AACTGCGGGGAACCATGCAAAAAACGCATCTTCGCACGGGCAGCCCGTGCGTTGGCCAATTATTTCACATTCGATTTGATCTATCGGAATCGCTGGGGGCTGCATCTTTCGCCGTTATGGGACGTGTGAAATGTTGCATTTGGCATGCTCTTTTGCTTAAAAATAACGCAGTTTCTGGTTTTGGACTATTTCCGGGTTACTTTCGCGAAAAGTAGTCCTCTTCCAACACCAGAGCCCGACATACATTCATTATAGTATATTGATTTGTTATAAATATCTGCACTTTGCCCCTGTTCTTCGATCATCTGCTGTTCCTCAGTAACGGACCTTCGGGCCATCTATGTAGCTAGCAACTTTTCCATTTCAACTGCTGTTGAAATCCCGCTGTTGCATTTTTCCTTTATGTTTTTTTTCGAAAATGGATCATGCCAGTTTTTTTCAGGTTTACCAAGATTTTGATGCAGCCCTACCAGATTTCAATGATTTGGATATGCAGACCCAAATTCAAATGAATCAGAGTCGGATCGATGACATAACACTGAAAGAGGATCTAATCCCCGAAGCAGGAGACATGACTTTTGGATCTGAGTTCGGAGTTAGTTTTTTTTTTTTTTTTAAAAAAACAAATTTGCCAAAAAAAACTTCTGGCTTTTTGCTTATTATTAAATATTGGCTTCATTTTTACGTGTTTGATTTGATTTCTTTTAAAATTTATGTTGTTGTGCGTTTCAGACTGACGACTTTGGCGAGAATACTCTTGGCTTTTTCAATGATAACCTGGAAGAGCGTCGAGAGGATGAACTGGATACGCCGAATGAACTGAAATCGAGGACCAGTGTCCTGGAAGAATCCCATCCTCTTGCTGAAAAACACGATGATATTAATGGAAAGCCGATGGACATCGATCTGGCTGATCACCTGGGAATACCGGAACCGGACGACGATTTCGGCGATTTCCCCACCGATAACATGCTTGATGGTAAGTTTTACAAGTTCAACAAAAAGAACCGTTGAAGTGGTGGAAAGGAAATGTGATACGCCAGGTATTTCTCGCAGGATGGGGAAGAGGAATGTGGATATCAGGATTATTAGTAGGCAGACCATCAGAATATTATAGTAAAAAATTATGTTTACGCTTTCAGCTCTACATTCTTCGCTAATCTGGTTTTACC